GTTCAATATTTTTTTCCCACAACATTCAGCGCGTCAGTTTCTACACTAGCTAGCTATACCATAAGCTGCTTAGTCCCATATGCCCCCCCCTGTAGGTTCCTGTTTGGCCGGGTCTCCTCCCAGCAGAGTAACAGAGAACGTTTCCCCTGAAGGCCACAGAGTGTGACAGGTCGTCTCTGCGACGTCTCGTTGAGTCTGTCGAGTGTTCTCAAAAAGCTCAGCGATCAGCTGCCGCCAGCCGAGCGAACGAGCTAATTAAACCACCACTTTTTTTTCCAAGTCTTCCCCAATAAATCTGAATAAATTAACAGGCATTACTAAGGCTGCTACATTAAATCTGCATCGTGGATTTAATGAATCTGCAGGAGCGAGCGGAGAGGTCTGCCACTGTGAAGCCACCGAATTAGCATAACTACTTCCAGCATGTTTCTGAAATAATGCTCTCATTTGCACATCACTGACTTGGCTAATTCAGGCTTCAGTGAGGGCGGCCTTGTAATTAAAGAATCCTACTTTAATTTTTAATGAAGTTTGTGTTACATCAATCCTGACAGTAATGAGGGGGCGAGGAAACAAAAACGCTGCTAATAATTAAATTCTCCAAGCGGTTTGAGGGATGATAACTCCTGAATCACTGACTAATCATTAATGAGATATTTAGAGGCATCAACCAGTCCTGAGATCCGCTTTAACGAGGTGGAAGAAACATCCGGTTCTGATCCGCCGTCGGTCGGATTAAACTTCCCAGCAGTAACTCTGGAAGCATCTCCCATTAGAAGCTCTGCAGCAGCAGCAGGTTCCTCCACAGGATGTGGTTCTGGACTCGCTGTCCAGGTCATCCAGACTTACTGGGGGGCTGAAGACCCTCTGAGTCACTGACAGGTTTCATGGTGCAGGTTTTCCTTTTGGAAGACTCTTTGGAACAAACAGAACCTCTCAGCCCAGACCTTTGCAGGATTTTAGACTAATTTAAATGAGAATTTGGAGAAAATCGAGGTTTTATCTGGTTGATGGTACAACAGAGCAGCTGAATGTGCTTCTGCTGTGGGAAAGTCCTCCTGATCTTTGAGGAGTTCTCCTCAGAACGTTCGACCTGTTGGGTTTCCTAATATCCATTTGTCTGGTTTTCAGAGCTGCCAACGTCTCACCAAACCTCGGGGGGAGATTTTGAAACAGTTTGGAAAGGAAACCCTGTCAGGGTGAGAGGAGGACGGCTGCAGCTAAAGGTTGGAGGTTTTCTGAGGGTTTCACTGAAAAAAGTGACAAAATGTGGGATTTTTACAGTAAATGTTCCTGAATAACAGTAAATGATCTGTAGTTATGGAACATTTTTCTCATAATATACATTATTTTTTATATTCTGGTGATTTTTAGAGAATTGAAGTAAAGCAGAATGGGCCCTACTAAAATAATTGCATCTTAAATATACTTTAAACTTTCATAACTTTGCTCATTAATTATTTTCTGCAGTTTAAATCAATTAAACGATGTGGAACTAATAAGTTATTACTGGATTACTGGCACTGAAACAGGAACCAGAGCAATGGAAACCAGTGCAAACTGCTCTGTGTGGGAATATTTGGTAAAAGGCTAAAGATTAAAAAGCTTCAATCATTTTATTAGTTTTTCTAATAATTCACCAAACAGCTGAACAATTCAGAGCCTCTAGGAGGCTGTAGATTTATATAAACTCTCCATGACAGGAGGCAGCGCTTCTCTGGATGTTTCATTTGGAAGGTTTGATGGAAATTAAGCTTTTAAACATATTCAATGGATTAAAATACAGATAAATGAATAAGATGAGTAATAATAAGAGAAGATCATCCCTGTGGTTCTTTATTAATCCAGGATAACTGAGCTGTTCTGCTCATCCTCTCTGGATGCCGTTGCTCTTTTCTTTAAAAATAAAATAAAATCATTCTTTTTCTTTTTGTGGAGCTTCTATGGGTTTGAGAAGCAAAACCTGGAAGCTTTGAGAATTAAAATATTTGTGTTGGTTTAATTAGGCCTGAACTCCAACAGGAGATTATTTAACTAGACTGAGCTGAGTTTTAAGGTCTGTCTTTTTTTTAGTGTGAGAAATTGGGAATATGGAGAGAGAGAGAGATGGGTGAGTCTCACCCCCAATGGGTGAGAGTTGACAGCCCTGAGTTTAATGTCGCAGGCTTTGTTCTCCTGCTGGGCCTGGTTTAGTTTTCCAGTTTCCTGTTCCAGGTTCATCCCATCATTTCCAGCCTGAACAGCTGCAGCGATCCCGGCCTTCTTCCTCTGAGGAGCATCTGTGGACTTCCAGGTTGCCGTCTGAATGGCAGCAGGTCCAACAGGTGGAATAATGAGACCTCAGAGTGAAGAATCGTGTGAAGCTCCTAGGAGAGCAAACAGAGGTTCCTGTAAAGGCAATCAGAACCAGAGGTTCTGATGAACCCAGTTTGTTTGGGTTCAGGAAACCTTCTATTGAAGATTCTGCTGGTTCTACCAGAACCGGCGTCAAACAGTGGAGATGATCCATCTGTGGAGTAATGATCCACACAATCATCTCTGCTGCTCATCAACTAATCAGCCTCCACTTTGCTTAATCTGTGCTTTAATTGGAGTCGTGTTCTGCTGAATGGTGAGTGAGGTGGAGCGTAGAGCAGAGTCGGGTATCGGACCTGCAGCCAACAGCATAAAGCCGTCAAAGATTTAACATCTGACCTCAAGAGAAAGATTCAGATAATTAGCTTCCTGAAAAACTGAAACTCAGATGAAAAGTGTGTTGAGTTCAATGTCTGTGGGAAGAATGGGACTTTTCCCTGTTGGTTATGAGCTGTATGTAGTACATCATACTGCAGAGGCGGGGCGCCACCACTTTCACAACCCACACAGAAAGTTGGTTCTGAAATCCAAACATGAATTTAATGAATTCATATAAAATGATCAGTTTGGTGATGAAGATCCTCATTCATTTTGTCAGCCGGTGTTTTGTTTTTAAAAGCTCACAATAGATCCTAAGAGTAAGATTTAATTAGTGCAGACATTGATGCCAGGACACTTCCTGTTGTGCCGCAGATTCATTCCTGAAAGTAAAGGAAAGTAGCTGAAGCTGAGCTTCAGTCACAGGTTGGTTCAGATGGAGAAACGTTTCTGAAAGATGTAGGTTAACATCTAGAGGAGCAGAGCATGAAGCAGCTGCTGCACCAACAATATTCTGGAGATGATTCAGTTAATTGCTCTGTGTTAAATATGCATCAAAGTGACTCTTATTAAAACAACAACTGGAGTCAAATATCCACTTTGTAGAGATCTAATTTAACACTAATTCAGAGAATCTTAAAATATTACCTTAACACTGCAACATTTACCAAATGACAAGGAGTGCAAATTAAAAATAACAACAAGGTTCTTTAATCAGAGGCCAATTTAATCAATTTTTTCTGCTCCAGTGTTGAACTGGAGCTTCTGCTTCTGTATGAATAAATGAAACTTCCTGTTGAGGAGGCGGAGTCACGAGGCTGAAGATGTTTTCCATAGAAAAAATAAATTCAACTGACATGAGTGAAGCCCTCTGATTGGTTGTTCAGCAGCCAATCAGAGGGCTGACTTCATTGGCTCAGAAGAAATATTTACTTTCTGTTTGTGTAAACACAGTCTGCTGTTTGTTCTGAAAAACTTTCACCAGTTAAACCAGTTCAATCCGCTGATGGTTTATCTGCCTGTTTTTAAGGAGTATCCGAAAACTGAGCAGTAAATTAAAAGAATAAAAGTTGTTTAATTTTTACATTTATTTTATTCAACCAAAATTAAAGACATTTCTTAAACTGCTTTAATAAAAAAGAATCAACTTCAGAATTAATCAACAATTAAAAATAAAAAAAACTGCATTAAAATGACAGGAAATAAAACCACATCGCTTAGAAAACAATTACATTTATCTGGAAACATTTAAAATAAATTTATAACAACATTAAAGCAAAGAAAATAAACAGACATAAAAATGAAAAATGATTCTATAATAAAAATAAATTAATGGGAATTTTATCGCGTCTCTTTGTCACTGCAGCAGCGCCCGGGTCAAAGGTCAGACGTGTTAAAGTGGGTTGATGTAACCCCCCCCCCCCTTTATTCTCCTCTTCATCTTCTTTAATCCTCCATCTGCTGCTTTTTCACAAACACCAAGAAAATTATTCTGATCCAAGAAAACAATTAAGCTAAAAAAAACTTTTAAAAACCAGATTTCTAAAAACTGAAAAAAAAAGACGAAGGTTATAAATTTACATTTAAAATTTACATTTAAAATTTAAATTTACATTTAAAAGTATAACATGAAATTTTGTCTCTATTTTGATGCTCTTTACTGTATATTCCAATTACTAATTATGCACAATAATAATAATAATAATAATAATAATAACAAAATTGCAGAAACCTCAAAATATTTGTAAAACATTTAAAAATTGAATCCATTAGAAAATAAACCAGAAAATAAACCAAAACATTTTTTTCTTTTAGAATAATTAATAAATGAATAAAAGCTCATTTTTTTTTCACACGCAGATTTAGCGCAGAATAAAAGAATAAAACAAATGAAGTTGCGCCTGAAACCAAATGATCCGTTTAGATAATTTCAAGGACAAAAATGGAATATTTAGAAAAATATTTCTTAATTAAAATAAAACCAATAAATTTATGTTTTGATATTTTCACCTTTTTTTTTTTTTACCTGAGTCCTCCTCTTCCTCCTCTTCCTCCTCTTCCTCCGCCGCCTCACCTCCGTTCCTAGAATAAAGCAATGAAACAGCAGCTCTCAGCGGACCTATTTGTCACAGCAAATTAGATGGGGCCCTCAGCAGCCCACGCACAAAACACGCACACACCCGCTCCCACGCTCCCACCGTGCGTGAGAGGTTTCCACAGCGGAGCGCGGCGCGGCTCCTCCCCGACATCAGGCTCCTCTGATCGATCGGAGCTCCCGCTGATGCTCCTTCCATGCGCGTTCATGTGCGCGTGCCAAGACTAACGCGGCGACCTCCTCCCCAGTGCGTTGCGGTCACGTGACTGTGGAAAAGTGTCCCATTAATGGAGCTCCTCTCCTGTCAGCAGCAGGAGGAGCGAAGCGCGCAGCAGAGAGCGGGACATGGAGGAGGAGACAGCCGCGTAGCGCAGCGCAGCAGCGGCCAGAGAGAAGACGGAACCCCGCGCTGCACCTGTTGGTGACCCGTTGGAGGAAGGAGAGAGAGAGGAGGAGGAGGAGGAGGATATTCGCTTCACCTCCAACTTTTTCACAACTTAAATTCTGAGCCTCATTTTCCAGCTCAAACGGAGCCATGAGCAGCGCCACCCAGCAGCCCGGCGCGCGGCTGTGCGTAAAAACGCAGTGAGGATCTGAAGGAGTTGGTGAAACTTTGGACACTCTGAGACTGAAGACATCTCGGCCCGTTTGTTGGTCCAGGTCGGTTCGGGACAATGCCTCGGCCCGGGAGGAACACCTACAGCGACCAGAAGCCTCCGTACTCCTACATCTCTCTGACGGCCATGGCCATCCAGAGCTGCCCGGAGAAGATGCTGCCCCTCAGTGAGATCTACAAGTTCATCATGGACCGGTTCCCCTACTACCGGGAGAACACGCAGCGCTGGCAGAACTCCCTGCGCCACAACCTCTCCTTCAACGACTGCTTCATCAAGATCCCGCGCAGGCCGGACCAGCCCGGGAAGGGCAGCTTCTGGGCCCTGCACCCGAACTGCGGAGACATGTTCGAGAACGGCAGCTTTCTGCGGCGCAGGAAGCGCTTCAAGGTGGGCGGCGTGCAGGTGACGGACCCGCTGGGCCCCAGCAAGCCGCAGGACGCCGCGCACTACCTGCAGCAGCAGGCCAAGCTGCGGCTGAGCGCGCTGCACGCCGCCGCGCACCTCCCGCAGGTCCAGACCGGCTACGGGCTGAGCACCGTGACGCAGCCGTCCAGCTTCAAGCACCCGTTCGCCATCGAGAACATCATCGCCAGAGAGTACAAGGTTCCGGGCGGCCTGACTCCCTTCCCAACCGCCGGGTACCCGCTACACAACCAGCTGGGCCCGGCCTGGCCGCACATGTACGGGCCGGGCGTGATGGACCCCGCCGCCCCCATCTCCATGGCCGCCGGGGACTACTCGGCCTACGGCATGCCGCTAAAGACGCTGTGCCCCGGCGGCCAGACTCTGCCCGCCATCCCGGTGCCCATCAAACCCGCGCCCGGCCTGCCCGCTCACATCCCGGCCTTCCTGGCTCACTCCCCGCGGTCCCTGAGCCCGACCTCCCCGCAGAGCAGCCCGGCCGCCCCCGCAGAAGCGCTGCAGTCCACGGTGGCGGTGCACTGATCAGGACACGCCGTGCGTGGAAAACTGCGGGTTCATTAATGCGGAGACCTTTGACCTCCTGCGGTTCCTGGACAAAGGTTCGACGCAGAGACTTGAAACTGATTGAAAACGAATTTTAATTTGTTTTTTTTGTTCAGAACTGAAATTTTCCGTTGGTCCAAATGATCCAGACGGACCAGAACCGGAACCAGAACCGCTGTCGGGCCGTTAGTGGGGCCGGCTGTCTGCATGCTGCTGGACTCAGTGTTTCTGACGCATGTGTGTCTCCTCATCCAGAACCAAACGGGAAGCGTTCTGGTTGCTTCTTTCTGCTTCCATCATTTCTGTAAAAATTTAAAAACATATTTAAAAAATAAGATTAATTTATTTCTGTCTGCTGATGATTTTTTCATGAACATTAATCATTTTTTGCGACAATTACTGAATAATTTTTCTAGCTTTATTTCGTTTATTTTTAAACTAGATTAATTTTACCAAGATAAATTTTTGTGTTTAAATGTAAAAATAGAATCAGCAGAATTTTAAAACAGTGAATAAAAATGTTTTTTAAAAGCCGCTGCAACCTGTGGATCAGCGGCTCCTTTCATCAACAGCAGATAAATTTTCCTTCAGATTTCAGATCAATTTAGGTTCTTTATTAAATCTGAAATTTTTTAATGTATTTTTTTTATTTAAAAAGAAAATCTTAAGTTTTAATATATTTTTGAATCCGTCACGTTGATTTAAACACATCACCGCTTCTCTCGGTTCCATCTTTAAATGTGCTTCTGTTGGTTGCTTTATGTTCTCTATTTCAATTAGATCTTAAAGTATTAAAATATAGAAATATTAAATATGATTTCATATATAAAAAAAACGGTCATTACCAATAAATAAAAACTTCCTGCGATAAATTTGTTTATTTTCAGGGAAATAAAGACACACGCAAAAACCTCAAGCTGGATATTTTCTGGCCGAAATTTGAAAGAGATTTGCAAAGTTTTCACTCACAACAAATTATATCCGAGTTAAAACTATTAATTATTTTATACAATTTTGTTATTATTATTATTGTTGTTTTATTATTATTATTATTATTATTATTATTATTATTATTATTATTATTATTATTATTATTATTATTATCATTATTATTATTATTATTATTATTATTATTATTATTATTATTATTATTATTTTATTATTATTATTATTTTATTATTATTAATATGTTCAGTTTTATGCCACAGTATCCAGTATTAAAATGGTGAATAAAGTTTTTCCTGTCTGAGATCAAATCCACGGACGGGTGGATTTTCCACAGTGGGTTTCCTCTCAGCTCCTCAGTGGAATTTTTCTAGCCCAGTTTGAACTGGATGCAGTTGTTCTGGATGGTTCTGAGATGTTTAGAACCTGCCCACTCATGTCATGTTGGATCAGAACATTTGGATGCAGGTCCGTGAACCTCAGCAGGTTCTGAAAATATATTGTTAAAGGATTCCAAAGTGGACCGGCAGGATCCGTCCTCCGTCTGTCCATTTGATGGAGATTCTGTTGCCATGGCTACCTGTGATGTTTGGATGTTGGTTCAGTCTTTTATGAAGCAGAACATTCTGAGGGTCCAGTCTGGTCCAATGTCAGGTTCTGTTAGATCAGGTTGGACCTGTGGAACAGCAGAACATCTCAGAGGGAGACGACCTGCTGCTATGAGAGCTGCTGCTGACCTGAGCTTCATGTGTTTAGGAGAAAGGAGAAGAGGTTAGCATCAGAAACAGCCAGGAACCAGTCAGGAACCAGTGAGGAACCAGTCAGGAACAAGTGAGGAACCAGTCAGGAACCAGTGAGGAACCAGTCAGGAATAAGTGAGGAACCAGCCAGGAACCAATGAGGAACCAGTCAGGAATAAGTGAGGAACCAGCCAGGAACCAATGAGGAACCAGTCAGGAATAAGTGAGGAACCAGCCAGGAACCAATGAGGAACCAGTCAGGAACAAGTGAAGAACCAGTCAGGAACCAGTGAGGAATCAATCAGGAACCAATGAGGAACCAGTCAGGAACAAGTGAAGAACCAGTCAGGAACCAATGAGGAACCAGTCAGGAACAAGTGAAGAACCAGTCAGGAACCAGTGAGGAATCAATCAGGAACCAATGAGGAAGTGGTCAGGAACCAGTCAGGAACCAATGAGGAACCAGTCAGGAACCAATGAGGAAGCGGTCAGGAACAAGTGAAGAACCAGTCAGGAACCAGTGAGGAATCAATCAGGAACCAATGAGGAAGTGGTCAGGAACCAATGAGGAACCAGTCAGGAACCAATTCAATTCAATTCAATTCAGTTTATTTATATAGCGCCAAATTCACAACACATGTCATCTCAAGGCACTTTACAGTTCAACCAGATCATACAGTCAAATTGATACAAAGTTTTCTATCTAAGGAAAACCAGTTGATTGCATCGACTCATTGACTCAAATACAATCCCCCACACTAAGCATGCTTGTAGCGACAGTGGAGAGGAAAAACTCCCTTTTAACAGGAAGAAACCTCCAGCAGAACCAGGCTCAGTGTGAGCGGCCATCTGCCGAGGCCGACTGGGGTTCAAGGAGACAGAAGCAGAGATACAAAAAGCAGCTGTAAAAGGCGGCCCCGTCCAGGAAACACACAGCCAGGCAGACGAGCTCCAAGGCAGCTCCCATGCCAGAGGACGAAGAGAGCACATCCACTCAGTCACGGTCAGAGAAACAGGACCACACTGGAAAACCGGCCGATCTCCAACATCTATAAACAAGGGTGTTGATAGAAGCAGCACAGCTGATGTTTCTTTCCAGGATGACGTCACAGCCAAACAGGAACAGACGAGGCAAAGCTACTCTGAGGAAAAGCAGAGAGAGCAGAAGGTTAGAGATTGAACTAACAGATTCTGCAGAATAGGAGAACAGAGAACCAATGAGGAAGCGGTCAGGAACAAGTGAAGAACCAGTCAGGAACCAGTGAGGAATCAATCAGGAACCAATGAGGAAGTGGTGAGGAACCAATGAGGAACCAGTCAGGAACCAATGAGGAAGCGGTCAGGAACCAGTGAGGAACCAGTCAGGAACCAGTGAGGAACCAGTCAGGAACCACTGAGGAACCATTCAGGAACAAGTGAGGAACCAGTCAGGAACCACTGAGGAACCATTCAGGAACAAGTGAGGAACCAGTCAGGAACCAGTGAGGAACCAGTCAGCAACCAATGAGGAACCACTGAGGAACCATTCAGGAACAAGCGAGGAACCAGTCAGGAACCAGTGAGGAATCAATCAGGAACCAATGAGGAAGTGGTCAGGAACCAGTCAGGAACCAATGAGGAACCAGTCAGGAACCAATGAGGAAGTGGTCAGGAACCAGTCAGGAACCAATGAGGAACCAGTCAGGAACCAATGAGGAAGCGGTCAGGAACAAGTGAGGAACCAGTCAGGAACAAGTGAGGAACCAGTCAGGAACCAGTGAGGAACCAGTCAGGAACCAGTGAGGAATCAGTCAGGAACCAGTCAGGAACAAATGAAGAACCAGTCAGGAACCAGTGAGGAATCAGTCAGGAACCAATGAGGAACCAGTCAGGAACAAGTGAAGAACCAGTCAGGAACCAGTGAGGAATCAATCAGGAACCAATGAGGAAGTGGTCAGGAACCAGTCAGGAACCAATGAGGAACCAGTCAGGAACCAATGAGGAAGCGGTCAGGAACCAGTGAGGAACCAGTCAGGAACCAGTGAGGAACCAGTCAGGAACCAATGAGGAACCAGTCAGGAACAAGTGAGGAACCAGCCAGGAACCAATGAGGAACTAGTCAGGAACCAATGAGGAACCAGTCAGGAACCAATGAGGAAGCGGTCAGGAACCAGTGAGGAACCAGTCAGAACCAATGAGGAACCAGTCAGGAACCAATGAGGAACCAGTGAGGAACCAATGAGGAAGCGGTCAGGAACCAATGAGGAACTAGTCAGGAACCAATGAGGAACCAGTGAGGAACCAATGAGGAAGTGGTCAGCAACCAGTGAGGAACCAGCCAGGAACCAGTGAGGAACCAGTCAGGAACCAATGAGGAACCAGTGAGGAACCAATGAGGAATCAGTGAGGAACCAATGAGGAATCAGTCAGGAACCGATGAGGAACCAGTCAGGAACCAATGAGGAACTAGTCAGGAACCAATGAGGAACTAGTTAGGAACCAATGAGGAACCAGTGAGGAAACAATGAGGAACCAGTCAGGAACCAATGAGGAACTAGTTAGGAACCAATGAGGAACTAGTCAGGAACCAATGAGGAAGCGGTCAGGAACCAATGAGGAACTAGTCAGGAACCAATGAGGAACTTGTCAGGAACCAATGAGGAACCAGTGAGGAACCAATGAGGAAGCGGTCAGGAACCAGTGAGGAACCAGTCAGGAACCAGTGAGGAACTAGTCAGGAACCAATGAGGAACTAGTCAGGAACCAATGAGGAACCAGTGAGGAACCAATGAGGAAGCGGTCAGGAACCAGTGAGGAACCAGTCAGGAACCAGTGAGGAACCAGTCAGGAACCAATGAGGAACCAGTGAGGAACCAATGAGGAAGCGGTCAGGAACCAGTGAGGAACCAGTCAGGAACCAGTGAGGAACCAGTCAGGAACCAATGAGGAACCAGTGAGGAACCAATGAGGAATCAGCGAGGAACCAATGAGGAATCATTCAGGAACCAATGAGGAACCAGTGAGGAACCAATGAGGAACCAGTCAGGAACCAATGAGGAACTAGTTAGGAACCAATGAGGAACTAGTCAGGAACCAATGAGGAACCAGTGAGGAACCAATGAGGAAGCGGTCAGGAACCAATGAGGAACTAGTCAGGAACCAATGAGGAACTTGTCAGGAACCAATGAGGAACCAGTGAGGAACCAATGAGGAAGCGGTCAGGAACCAGTGAGGAACCAGCCAGGAACCAGTGAGGAACCAGTCAGGAACCAATGAGGAACCAGTGAGGAACCAATGAGGAATCAGTGAGGAACCAATGAGGAATCAGTCAGGAACCAATGAGGAACCAGTGAGGAACCAATTAGGAATCAGTCAGGAACCAATGAGGAACCAGTCAGGAACCAATGAGGAACCAGTGAGGAACCAATGAGGAACCAGTCAGGAACCACTGAGGAACCAGCCAGGAACAAGTGAGGAACCAGTCAGGAACCAGTGAGGAACCATTCAGGAACCAGTCAGGAACCAGTCAGGAACCAGTGAGGAACCAGCCAGGAACCAGTGAGGAACCAGTCAGGAACCAATGAGGAACCAGTCAGGAACCAATAAGGTCCCTAAACATCTAGTAACTGTTGTATCCTAATCATCTCCAGAGCATCTAGAACCTTCCGTAAGCGGAGTTATTTTATTGATGATACATTCAGAGTCAGTCTGTTCACTGAAACCAAAGTCAGAAC